CTGGCCTAGTCAATGCCTTAAGCAGCAGAGTAGAAAGTTGCAGTTTCCACACACAAATAATCATGCTGTCTTCAAAATTAGCATTTTCTTGCCAATTTCGGTTGTTTACATGAACACTAAACAGGTCAATTTATCAGTAAGAAAGTCTGGACTTGAAGACTTCCAAGTGTTGAATTCTCATTTTAACTAAACTAATGATGTGCAGACATTCTGAGTGCCATTAGGAGTATTCAAGTCATTTTTCTTACTAAACAAACATTAGGCCTATTTCATTTACTGCAGCGCTTTATTTTCCTTTCACAATGACATGTTGGGCATTACAATTCTCAACTTCAGGATGACTTACAAATTTTGGTTTTCTACTGTCATATGACAACATTAAGGCAACGTACAAAAATCTTACATAAATTAAACCTGATGATTAAATTTACAGGTGTCAATGCAAACATTGGAGCAACTCAAGTTGAGCAACTTTTTTGCCCTGTGATGCCTTGCTGGGATACAGGTGGGCAAGGGAAGAAAAACAGGTTCATAAGGCTTGGATGTGATATGTTTCCAGCCCTGTTAGGAACAGTGGCAAGACAAAAAAATGGCCATCCTTTTCACAAACCCTTGCCAGCCTCAACAATAGTGATCTGGAATTCTTAGCGCTTTGTGTAGTGGAAAGTCTGATCTTTTGTTACCCTGTACAAATCTAGCCTCCGACTCCAGTTACACTGCTGGTTACACTGAGATCATCATCCCAGGCACTTACAGACACAAGTTAAACCTTTGTATTGTATAAATGCCACCTGTACTAGGTCCTAGGCCAGATGTGTATAGGGTACAGTTATACTGCTATGTACAAAGGGAACAGTTAACTTGAGTACAGGTCATATCAGCAACAAGGTAGACATCCTCACAGGATTATTGGAGACAGACTTCCCAATGACAAATGTTTTGAAGAGAAGGCTTATTCCAGTTTCATGAGGCTAGCATGAGGTGTATATATTTGCCCGGGCAAATTTATACTGATGAAAAAAAAACTCATGCAGCAAATGCTGCGCATCTGCTAATAGTCCATTTAGAAACATTTACGGTGGACAATGGATGGGCCAGACTCATCATATTCCTGCTTGCTGATCCACATTTGCTGAAAGGTAGAGAGAGATGCGAGAATGGATCCACCAATCCAGACTGAGTATTTGCGTTCAGGAGGAGCAATAATCTAAGGGAAAGAGAACAAAACCAAGAGTTAGAATGCTCTGTAGTTGTTTGTTATCTACCTTACTGAAAGGGGCTGTTTCAGAGAAATGCAGAAGCCAAAAGCTTATAATGCATTTCTTCTCACCTTGATCTTCATTGTGCTAGGAGCCAATGCTGTGATCTCCTTCTGCATTCTGTCTGCAATTCCTGGATACATTGTGGTACCACCAGACAATACTGTGTTGGCATACAGGTCCTTCCTGATGTCTACATCACACTTCATGATGGAGTTGAAAGTGGTCTCATGAATGCCACAGGACTCCATACCTAAGAGTTGGGGGGGGGGGAAGAGAGAGAGAGAAAGGAAAAGATCTCTAATTATGCTTCACAACTGCCTTGCTTGAGGTATATCCTATGATCTACTGCACATGCCACTGTGTGCACACAAGAATGCATACCCCTGTAACCTGAAAGCATGTTAGTGACTTTTTGTTAGGGTTACAATTAAATTCTTACCTAAGAACGATGGTTGGAAGAGGGCTTCTGGACACCTAAACCTCTCATTTCCGATGGTGATCACCTGACCATCAGGCAATTCATAGCTCTTCTCCAGGGAGGAAGAGGAAGCAGCTGTGGCCATCTCCTGCTCGAAGTCCAAGGCAACATAGCACAACTTCTCCTTTATGTCACGCACAATTTCCCTTTCAGCTGTGGTGGTGAAGCTGTAGCCTCTTTCTGTCAGAATCTTCATGAGGTAGTCTGTGAGGTCACGGCCAGCCAAATCAAGTCGCAGGATGGCATGAGGAAGGGCATAACCCTCATAGATGGGTACAGTGTGTGTAACACCATCTCCGGAGTCCATTACAATACCAGTGGTACGACCAGAGGCATACAGGGACAACACAGCCTGAATGGCCACATACATAGCTGGAGTGTTGAATGTCTCAAACATGATCTAAAAAAGAAAATAAGTTGTTGTAAACAAGCAAATCCTCCTACAGTGATGGCGGCACACGCACACACACATGCTAACATGCAAAGTATCAGATGAGAGTTGGAAACCAAAAGAAAACAGGCAGAAATACAACAGAAACCTGAGACTTCAAGAAGGAAATGCCAGGACAGCAAAGAACCCTGAAAATAAGAGAAGAGAAACTGTAACTTGAAAGAAAAATGGTGGATGAAATGAGTGAAAACAAACAAGAACAGCCACACCAATGCCATACCTGTGTCATCTTCTCTCTGTTGGCTTTGGGATTCAAGGGGGCTTCTGTAAGCAGCACAGGGTGTTCCTCTGGAGCAACACGAAGCTCGTTGTAGAAAGTGTGATGCCAGATTTTCTCCATATCATCCCAGTTGGTGACAATGCCATGTTCAATAGGGTACTTCAGGGTCAAAATTCCTCTCTTACTTTGAGCCTCATCTCCTACATAGCTATCTTTCTGGCCCATACCAACCATGACACCCTAAGAAAAGGGAGAGAGAAATCTTAGTATGGTACTAGGCTGAAGTAACCTAACTTAGATCACATAGAAAGAGCAGTGCCACTGCTTCCTTGGCAACCAACCTGGTGGCGTGGGCGCCCAACAATTGAGGGGAACACAGCACGAGGAGCATCATCTCCAGCGAAGCCAGCTTTGCACATACCAGATCCGTTGTCAATAACGAGCGCTGCAATTTCTTCTTCCATTTTTAGATCTGCTTTGAAGAAAAAGAAATTTTCATTAAGGAACATTAACATGCACTTCCACCCCAATTTCAGCACCATCCCCATAGCCACTACAGCATCTGGCCACCAGGGGTTGCTCTGGCAGCCTGCCACCCAATCTGGGGACCCCACCCTCTCGACTACATTTCCACCAAGGTCTGCAGACTGTCCTTGTTTCCTTGCCCTGAAAGACCTAATAAGTAGCCATTCTGCCTTCACTCTTCTTGCAGAGATTAGCACCATGCATGACCTTACACTCAGAACTCTCAAGTCCAACAGGGAACATTCTTAAGTAAGTAGGCATACAATTCCTGCCTAGAAGGCTGCATATATTGGCACTTTCTAGCTTCTTACAACTGAGAAACAGCTGAAACAGGATCACCGGGATGACACGGAAAAAACAGCCTTACATTCTGAGGCGTTGCTT